TTGCAATTCACCGTTGCTCCATGGCTGGTCAAAGAATTGCCACCGTATATGCCATTCGTGTTAGGAACACCGTCCACAAAAACTTCATGAATTCGCTTCTTCTCGTCCTCTATCGCAGTTGATTTCAGCTGGAAGTGGGGCGGCAAAGGATAGCCTGCAGCATTACTACCGGCAACCAGAGTGATTCGGGAACTGCTTTTGTTCGTTCTGTCAGCACCGCATCCAATGGCTTTGTCACTTGACCCATACGCCGTAGAAGGCCGTCCTCCTGCCTGGCTCCCATTCCCATCAAGTGTAAGACCTGACTCATCCAGATTAATGATTCTGTTGAGTTGTCCTGCAAAAAAAACAATTTCACCTTCCTGAATTTCATCATCTCTMTTTAGCCTGGCAAAGCCTTTTGCAACAAGTTCATGCTTCAGTTTGCTAAACCACATATTAATATTATTATAAGTTGTCCACTTGAGACGCCGTTCTTCAATTTTGTTACCGTTTTTTGTAACCTTCAAGTGGCCAGCAAAGGTTGGGAGAAGGCRGCGGTAAAGGTTCACGTAATCGTTCAGCAAACATGGACCCGGAACCAAGCAACTCTTCAGCATCGCAATGAAACCTGCACGCCGTGGAATCTTCTCTTTTTCCTCGCAAGCAAGAGCAACAAAGGAAGATATCGCATCTCCTAGTGCATGAATAATTGACGGCGGAAGCAAGCTCTTTCGGCCCTTTCCGGGAGGGCCAAGATTTTCTTTCAGGTGTCGTCGCACTGTGTTTGGTTTGAGCGAGGTATTATACAGCAAATTAACCTGAGATACAATACTCACAACGGAGGACTGGCTGCTCGGTGGCAAATTTTCTCGCTCATACCTCACCTTCTTCGCAATTGCATTGTATGCGTCKTCATGTGCCCTCTTCTTTAAGTACTTGTTAACCGTTTTGATATGAGCTTGCTTAGGAGTATCAGGACTCTCTTTTAGAAGGACTGGTGCAAGGGCTCCCTTCTCCAGACTGCTTTCATCTTTGCTCTTCACTGGTGTTGCTGTTGGTGGTGGATTTGTGAGAAGTGCTAACTTTGATTCCAAGACCTCAAGCTTCAGCCCTGATATTTTCGCAAGCTCTTCCAAGTTGATTAAGGCCACTTCCTTGGAGGATGTCAAAGCTGATAATTCTGGTTCTGCTTCTTTCTTTGTTGTGGACATTGAACACTCTAGATAAGTAGGAGGGGCCTTAAACATCCTTTCCATGCACMGCTGTACTCTTCTTTGTAAGGCTTTGTTGTCTGCCTCCTCTTCASTAAACTGAGCAAATATCATTGACCTTTTCACAGAACACTGGAGACCTCTGGACCTTGAACCATGCAAGTTCTCAGCAGCAAGGGTTGTTCTTTCGCATGCTGAGACYGCGCGTCCTGTTCTTACTGATCCAACTGCAACTGTGTCCTTTCTTCTTAGTACTGCTGGCGTCGACCTTGTTGATGCTGCTTTTCCTCCGTCCCCCTCCTCTTTATTGCAAGTCGCCAACCCCACTGCTCCTGATTCAGCACGCGTTTCMACACATCCCTTGGTAATAGACCGGATCGATAGTGATACTKGGAGTACAGCGCTAGCTCTGGGGGGCCCTGGCATGCTTGTTTTCATCTTCTTATTGGTGCTATTGCTCATTTCAGGGGCCGAAATACACTCAAAATACAGCAAGAAAAACTGCTTTTTCTTTCAAAATACTGGGCCGATTGCAACGATACTTCGGGATCAAGTCTCCTTTGATGTATTAAGGACGTCCGACACACTGGTTGTCTTTGTTAAGGGGGGGAAGGTCGATTCGTTTTAGTTACACTGGGGAGTTCGTCGTTGCTGTTTGTTGCTGTTTTCGCGTCTGTACGTAGGACTCCTGATGCTTCTAAACCACTYGGTCGATCGATCCGCTACTTCACAGTCCTCTTCCGCTTAGTGTAAGGATTGTAACACTTGTCTTGTGAGCGCGATTGGTTGGATATTGATAAAGTTCTGGAGGAGTGACAGCTTGCCTTGTTGAGGTTGATTTAATGAAAATATTTTTTATTTTCGGTGAGGAGAGAAATCAACAAGCCCGAAAAGGTTCTCTGACAGGAAACATACGCAATATGGACATGTATCGAAAGAGGAGGGAAAACCCTTTCCCACTGAAGGATTCTCTAATTCTGATTGGTGCTTTTGCTGGAGTTAAGAAGCAAGCAAAGTGAGCCAAAAACTGGCGCGTTTTATGTACTCATAACCTGTTAGAAATCGATAGCCTTATAACGCACTCAAACTCGTACGGTACCCTACCTGGTACTTACCGTACTGCAGCACATACCCATACTTGTACAACTCGGCGCCGTCTCGCCTCGGTTGGAATCGCGGTGCACGTTGAGTTCCATTCCGTGGTCGCATTCGTACGCTTGCGCCAGACCGCTTCCAGACAGCACAACGACAGAATGAAGCCGTCGCCGAATACTGCCATCGGCCGAGGCACCGCTCTGGCTTTCCTCTGGTGGTTCGCGGGTGCCGTTGCGGTTGCCTCTGGGTGGACGACGGGGATTGCTACCGGCACCACCCGTGCCTCGAGCACCCCGGATCGCCACCGGGAAATCGGGACCTCTTCTTCCCGGACCGGGCCGCTGCGAACGTCTTCGCCCGGGGAACCGGAAGCGGCTCGTCCCCCGGTGGAAGGGCTCGCCACACGCCGGGAACTCGTCGCGGCCGCCGGGGGATGCCTCGGAGCCGCAGCGGTACTGGCGGCACGGCCCGCACCTTCCGGGGCCGCGGAACCCCTGGACGCGGGGGAGGCAATACGGCGGGGGGCCTCGAACCTGCCGGGGTACGGGTCGAGCGACGTCTTTTATCTGGGGTCCTTCGCCGGGAGCTGGAAGATGACCCGCGAGGTGGAATTTCCGTCCTCGCCGAACGTCTTGCGCCTGTCGTACCCGGTGCGTTTCGTCCAATCGATCGAAGACGGTGCGGTGGTGGCCGACCGCGGGTACAACCAGGCCGAGCTCGAGGCCGCACTGGCCCGGACCAGGAGCGGGGCATCGGGCCCGGACGGATCCGCACCGGAACCGGCATCTCCTGCCGTGCGTTCCTACGAGTGGGTTCCCTACAACCCAAACGTTCTGAGGGTGGTCCTCTCCAGTGGAACCCAAAAAGAGATCAAGGTGACCAAGCGGGCGACGGAGCGGACCGAAGACACCGTTTCTTCCTCGGAGTTCCAGCGGGTGACGACGCAGGAAGTTGCCGGGCCGAACGGCAACAACAACAACGGGGTGGGCGGAATCCCGGATATTTCCGCCCGGCGGGTGGTCTCCAAGTGGAAACGGGTGGACGATTCAACGCTGGAGGGGATCGAGATCGTTTACGCGGTAGGCGGGGGAGGGGATCCGCTGTCCGCGGGACTGTCGTCGTCGCCTCAGGCAGCGCCAAGGATTTTGTCCAAATCGAGGCTCTACCTCGTGCGGTGACAGAAGCACCGCCCTGCTTGGTTCCGTCCGAGAATTGCTGGTGCTCGGGCAGGTTCTTGACGGTATACCCTACACGCTGGTAGCAACATCCCCTCGACAGACACGAACCATACGGTATCGGTGGTGCCGTTCGTCGGCACAACTCTAATTTATCTGCCACTGCGCATCACGATTGCCACCAGCGAGACGCTGAACCGAAAAATCTTTTCCTCTGAAACTGAATTCATTCTAATACAACATAGATTTAAAACGGCACGGAATAGATTTTAAAGGATTTGCTTTTGTTAGTTTATTGGTTATTGCATGCTAACAAGCTCTCGCAAAAAGGTATTGATGGCTTCGAAGTCAAGTACACCCTCGGCACCGATGAAGGCCTCGAGGCCGACAGAAGCAGCGATTCCGGCTTCTCCAACAACACCCGCGCTGAGTAGAAGCATGATCCCCCCAATGGTCAAGAATGAGAGGGCGGCCACGACATCGATTCCGAACTCGTTCTTCCATCCATCGTACAAAAAGTTGAACTGAACCTTGAAAAAGATGGGGAGGATGGGCTGCAGCATTCTGGTTACAATTCCGGCGTAGTTGCAGTTCTCGAACTTGGGTTTTCCGTCTTCCCACGTGATCTTGGCGGGTGTGTCGAATCCGCGGATGATAATGTCGGACGCAAAGCGGGACAGACCCTGGACTGCTGCGGATCGGATCTGTCGGCGTCTCGCATAGCTCTCGAGCTTGCCCGTGACCTCGCTTCTCGTCTTGGCACCGTCGAGTTCCTGGGCGATAACGAAGGCGTCCTCGATGGCCTGGCAACCTCCCTGGCCGAGGTTGGGCATCATAGCATGAATTCCGTCACCAAGAAGAGCAACATGGTCTTGCGTCCACGGTTTGAAAATGCTTGGAGGACGATCGTACAAATCGCGCTGTTCGATCTCGTCTTCTTGCGTCACTTTCAAGATGGCATGAACCTCCGGCGACCAGCCCTCGAAAAGGTCCTGGAGGTACTTAGAAGAGCCCTCGGGCTTGGGATCGTTGACGGATCCGGGTGCACGGGCCAAAAAGGCGTACCACTGATACCTGCCGTTTCCAATGTCTGTGATCACAAAGTATTGCTGCGGCCCGATGTACACCTTGTACCCAACATCTCCGTTGTCCGGAGAATCGTAGTTCAGCTCACCGGCAAATACTGTGTAGCCGGAATAGGAAGCCCCGGAATCGTCCCCCTTGGCAGGCGTTCCGTGCATCTTGGATCGCACCGCGGACCAAATCCCATCCGCACCGATCAACACGTCACCAGTGATTTTTGCTCCCGATTCCATCTCGCACGTCACCCTCCCAGTTTCGCTATCGGTGGTGTACGTCGAGATTCCGTCTCCGTTTCGAACTGTACCCTTGGGCAGATTGTTAAGGTAAATTTCCTGCAGGTCGGGTCGCTCGATAACTCCGGTGTACGGCATGCCCCTGGCCTCGGCGGGACTCGCAAGATCGAATTTTGCATACCACTCAGTTCGGATTCCGTCTTTGATACCATTCTCCTTGTCACCGGTGAAGGTGAACTTGTCCATGATTTGATCGTAGACTGTCGTGTCCATCTCGTTAAGAATTTTTAGTGCGTTACTCGCCAATTGAATCGGTCCACCGAATCTTTTGAACTGATCGGTTCTCTCGAGCACGGTAACCTCCATGTTCGGGTTTTTAGTAAGGGTGTTTGCCAATGCCAAACCACCAACACCACCACCGGCAATAATAACTTTCAGCGGGTTCTGTTCCGATATTTCGTTCACAAAAGCATCCGTTTCCAGCGACGGTGGTTGACTGACGGAGGCAACGCTCAATTGAGACGTCGTCGCAGCAAACTTATTGTTGATGCTGGGTCTGTTGTAGCAGTGGTTGTTGATTAATAGTTCCCATCGAATCGATAGTAACATTAATTTGAAGAGAAAACCGAAGTGAAAGTTTTTCGGATTTGTCAGAGCTACGCTGGAATTGAAACGATACCTTTTGATATGTGTTGCTCGGGGCAACGAAGCAACGAATCTTACCGTTGCTGGAATGCATTTGCTGTCGCAAGGACAACAATAGCTGAGAAGCATGCTCGACTGAAGTTCATAATCAATATATTCTCTACGTTTATTGTCGAAGCCTTCTTGGTCTAGAATAGCTTGCAGCTAAATAATGAAAGGTGGAGCGACACAGGGTGGGAATAGTATTCTTATTCTTGAAGTTAAAATTAAAACGCGCTGAGGGAGCTTCGAACTCAAGTTAGGAGTTGCCCTGGTGGTTGGAGCATGTGGCGAAGTGTCTTTCATCATCAATTGTATTCAGTTTTCAAAGAATATCATGGCTGTGAAGGGATTGAAAGAAGCATATGTTACAACTTCGAAAAAGACACGTCACCTCCGTAAAAAATTTAAGCGTGTTCTGGCCGCGCCACCTTAAAATAACGTCAGATAATGAGTTTGACCCGTACGACTACTCGTACATATTCATGTTGGACACGCGAATGACTCGCCGTAGGTTGCTTCTCTGTAGAATTACTAGGGGGTCCATCAAGAATCGTAAGTACGTTGGTGACGCAGAGGGTCGTCATTAAATTAAATAATGTTGATTCTCTGTCGACAACATTTTGTTTTCGATTTGTGCTGTTTCTCATCAACGTCGAACGATACTGTAGCATCGGTTGTTCTGCGACATCGGATCTTGTTTCGGGGAAGTTATCTTTCCATAGCGCCACACATTTATTTCCCAGCCAACGTCGCTTTTTTCATCGAAAGTTTGCTTTGACATATTGGACAAGAATAGAACTAGACAACAGTCATGGCCAAGATTTCTTCGGTGGCAACAGTAGGGTGCATCCTTTTCGTTGCAGGAGCGTCGGCCTTCGTGCCTGCTCAATGCAACAATAATCAACCATCGATCCATTCCATCTGCCCGAGCAGCAGCAGTAGCGTTGGTGCCKGTCCGCTATACGCTGCCAAACACGACAAAACGGAAGGCAGAGAGGGTAACTTTGGTAGCAACATCATCGAGTCAATAAAAAAGTCTGCCGCTGTTTCTGCCCTGGCACTCGGATTGACTTTTACGACACTGGGTTCCTCACCCCTGCCGGCTCTCGCCACAGATTCGGGTGCGATCGTAGGCTGTTTGTTTTCAAAGTGCCAGCTGCCCCTGGCCAAATGCATCGCAAACCCCAAGTGCCTGGCTAACGTCGTGTGTATTAACACTTGCAACGGAAAAGAAGACGAAATCGGGTGCCAGATCAAGTGCGGTGATTTGTTCGAGAATTCCGTGGTAGGAGAATTCAATAAGTGTGTCGTCTCTGACATGGCCTGCGTTCCTCAAAAGCCCGATGAGGGACTCTACCCGGTGCCGAGCCCTGAGACCCTGGTCAAAAAGTTCGACACCAAGCTTTGGAACGGAAAGTGGTACATCACGTCGGGACAAAACGAACTCTTCGATGTACGTATTTTCGAATTTTTGGTCTGCCGTCATTGAGCCAATTTAGTGGTTGTCAATGAATGGCGTGCGGTTTGCCGGAATACCCGGTACATTTTTGCCGTTGTGTGCAACATCTCATACAGCTGTATTATTACTATCAATTGATTGTTAATTCTTTATGCTCTGTCCATAAAAAACACAACAGATTTTTCCGTGCCAGGTCCATTTTTTCACGGAAACGGCCCCAGGAAAGTTTTTCGGAAAGCTGAATTGGAGAATTGAGGAGCCGGATGGCGAATTCTTCACTCGCGACGCGATCCAGGAGTTCGTGCAGGACCCGGAACAACCCGGCCACCTTATCAACCACGACAACGAATACCTACACTACCAGGACGACTGGTACATTATCGATTACGAGTATGACGACAACGAGTCAGGAACGCCGCCCTTTGCCTTTGTGTACTATCGCGGTTCCAACGATGCCTGGGTTGGGTACGGAGGAGCAGTCGTGTACACTCGGGACGCCAAGCTCCCCGAGTCACTACTGCCTCGTCTGAGGGAGGCCGCCAAGAAGGTTGGTTTTGACTACGACAAGGACTTTACGGCTACGGACAATTCATGCAAAACGATTGATCGGGGGGAGACCGTTCTCCTGAGGGAGCAATTTGCGGGCAAGGTCCTCCTCAACACGGAAAAATCCGTGCAGGCGCAGGCTACCAAGTTCCGTGGAAATGCCATCAACAGCATCAAGGCGCAAAAGATTTTCTTCTCCAACGAGGGCAAGGCAGCCGAGGCAGCCTTCGAGAGGCTGGGAAACGACGTCAAGAAGTTCGAGCAAGATGTGGTCGGAAGTGTTTCGAAATAAGAACAAACATAGAATCATACATATCTTGTGTGCATGCAGTTTTCCCAACAATGCAACGGCTTTGTCGGGTTTCGATAGAGTCCATTATTTTTCGTATCATGTGTTGTTTTCCGACGTACCTACAATCTCTGTGTTTTGTGAATTTCAAGTTCTATCTGCAAATGAGACGAGCAAGTATTCTAGGTGTTTGATCGATCCATACAAAGGAAATCAGATCTTTCACCGCTACCAAACTACTGCTGTTGCTATTTTGGAGATATGACTGCAACAACTATGCAATCTCTTGCAGAATAGAAGCGCACGACCAGAGAAGTTTTCGTCCGAGAAACAGATTTGGATCCGACTTCTTGGTGCTGGGCATGAATAGTAGTAGTAGTTGTTACCAAACTATAAGAAGAACAACAACAAGAAATCAACAAAGTTCAAAGGCTTTACTCACAGTCTACCACATATAACACATTCAAATACCGTCTTACTCTTACCAGATTGAAAAGACATGTGTTGATCAGTCGACTACTAGTATCATGTTATTCTGTCCACCACTACTAACTAATTCCAATGCCTTTTTGTACTAGGAAGATGGTACCTTCTTCTTCATTTGTTCACGACACATTCGGGACTCAATCCGAATATAAATACTCGCTACGTACGGGTCAACGGAAAGTACTTGTACTCGTAGTACGTTCAAATTATCGCCCACGGTGGGATGGCGTCACGTCTCACATCCCGGTCGAGGGTCATAGTCTCGGTTCTACTTTTTCTGCACTCTTTGTCCTCGTTAGTAGGGTAAAGTACGTACCTCGTACGAGTACGAGTACGTGACGCAATTGTCATTAAATTCTGCGACACATTTGTTTCCCTCGCCGTTTGTGAAGATCGGGCTCTCGACTGCGGAAGGAAGCAGTGAACTTCTCGCTACAAATTGGTAGCTGCACCTCAGTCCGATTCGTTGATCAATTCCCAAGAGACAGAAGCCGACGACAAAGGACGAAGCACATTGCTTACACACGGAACAAAAGCAACAAGCCAGCGATCGCCAAAACCAAATTTGATTCGCGTTCGACACAGCCAGAGGCATTTCGATTCGTTTTGACCCGGCTCCACATATCGCTATCTTCTGTCTGCCCTTTGTGAACACGACAACCGAACGACCGATCAGTAGATTGAAGGAAACCCGCAATAGAAATTGAACAAGAAAACAGCCTCAAAACCTAACGCCCAACGAATAAACCATATCAATAACATGCCCGATGCTTTCCCCCGAAGCCTCCGAGCGGCCTCAAAACGAGACAGACATGGGGAACAACGCAGCAGGGACTCGTCGCAAACATCGTCGTTGGTCACAGCGCCATCTAGGAGCAACGGTATGATTTCTCCGCCCCTAGAAACCCCGCGAGTCTTGACCCGTAGCGCCATTACGGGCCTCACCCACGGTCTCGACGCCAGCGACGTCCTCGAGTGCTACTCGCTGGTCCGATCGGCACCCCTTCACGGGGTAGCTAACTCGACCATCACGGTCCAGAAGATGACCATCGGAATCCGCTTCCGGCCGACGGCAGCCGACCTCAAAAATCCCTACAACACCAAGACACCGATGGAGCTTACCCTCGAGTACGGACCCGCGCGGCTGGGCCCTCTGCTCAGCGACGAGGCGATGCCGACCGTGCAAGGGAACGACAAGTCCTCCTCGTACCTAGTATGGGATAATATCGGGAAGGTCTACTTTACCCAGAAGATTGATGCTGGCAACTATATCAACTCGAACTATATGGCTAGCATGACCGGGGCCGTCCTCAACAAGCTTCTCCACGAGGCCGTAGGGTACACGGAGAAGCGAAAGATCTACCAACCCTTTTCGGTGTATTCCGACAAGGGCAAGCGACTCATGAGATCCTCCTCGTCGATGGACTTTGCGTGGTACGTCTGGTCTCATCTGGCCCGGCTGGGTGTGGAGATCGAGCCCATCCTATCGCCGTCGATGTACGAGGCACGCCTGTACGCAAAATCCGCCAACAAGGTCTTTCCGGATCCTGCTTCAACCCGCGCGGCTGCATCCTTTTACGAACACCTATACGGCTGTCTGGAGTCGATTGCCAGCCGGTCGGTCTGGTCGTCTGGCAAAAGCAGCCAGCTGCCGGGCGACAATGTCGAAAGCAACGGCGTCGAAAAAGCGCGCGACAAACCCTCTTCTTCCTCTGGTGCAAACAACAGCGATGGCGCCCGACGAGGCAACAGGAGATTAGAAGATCGCAATGATGGACCTGATTGGGAAACCAGGGAAGATGGGAATGGCGATTATGACGATGATGACGGCGATACAATAGACCACGATGACGATGTTGACGTGACAGCCCTAGACACGGATGAAGAAGGCTACGATGACAACGGCGACGACAACGGCGAGATTGAAAACGAAAAGGATCTTCAAGACGACGACGTAAGAATTTCTTCCAGTTATGACGAGGCACGCGAATCCGGAACCACGAGCACACAAGAAGTACCCAAGCGGCTGCCCTCAAATGAGTTGCCGAATCGGAATGATCCAACCCCAGGTCCATCGGAAACCACCTACCCAACCGCACTCCCCACCGAGGGCATACATGATGTCGAAAAGGCCCAGAACGCGGCCATGGACGCGCAGAAGGCCGCCGACGAAGCGATGATCGCGGCACAAACGGAGGGTGAGACCAAGGCAGCCGATGCCGCCCAAGCCGCAGCGGACGCCGCCCTGGTAGCGGCCGATGCGACGTCCAGCGCGGCCGCCCAGGCGGCAATGGACAATTTGCTGAGCGGGGACGGAGCGTTGATGAGCTCGATCGTCTCGACGTGTTTTTCCAATCCGACGTATGGGATCTCATCGACGGATTCCAACGGGACCGCCACCACCGAGTTCTACTTGTTCCGGGACCCGTCGACGTACTACAAGCTAGAGTTGGTGAGTCCCTATCTTGAGATCGCAAAATTAGACCGGACCATTCCCAATGCGGCAACCCTACTCTCAGGAATGAGTGCTGGGGGCGATGCCCTGGACTGGACTCTTGCTCTGTCGATTTTGTTCATAATGTTTTTGATGGTGCTACTGATCTGCCAGCAAATGGGCAAGCACTACATAGAGGCAATTTTCCGGTGCCAGCGGTGGTTCTTCAACCCCCGCAAGTACGACTACGAGGGATCGACGATCTCCGGGGTTCAGTCGGGATCACACTTCTTTTTTGGAAAGCGCGGCATTCCGATCAGCATGGGAGGCCGGCGTTCTCCATATGCGGAGGACATCGTTGCCACCGACGGCGAGCCGTACCGAGATAACGCCGGTGACGAAATGGACAACGACAAGAGGCTGACAATGTCGCCCGAGATGCCCCGGAAGCTCCACCGCAATCCCTCAATGGAGCTCGAAATGACGGGATTTTCGTCGCCGCAGCACGAGCATCATCCGCTCACGCCGCGCAACATATCCTCGAAGCAATCCTGGAGGCTCGACCATTCCAATTCCGACCATTCGAGCACTGGATCTAGCGAGGAGGGCTTTGAAAAAATCCCCACGCGACTGCTGCGGAATCCAGATCTGGTAGAGATGCCCAGCCTTAAGTCCAAGTCCAAGGTTGCGATCCCGGTGGGCAGCAGCAGCAACGGCAAAAACAACCAACACGCTTCAAATGCAAATGCAACAGCCTACAGGGCCTCCCCATCGTTTGAGGAGGGAATCGCGAGCATTTGAGTAGTGCTTTTGCGTTGGTTTGGTTCGGTCTGTGCATATGCGAGCTGCATCACACACAAGAAGTTAATGATATCCTGTAGTAACTATTACTACAGCTACGAATTTAGGTAATTAGGTAACACAACTGATTTTCCCTACTTCATGCATCGAATGCAATGATTCCAGCTCTGTTAATGGACTGTAAGTGTTGCATCTTTCGATCCAGTGCCCTTGCTCCTGCAAGCTTCTTCTAGTGCATGAAAACGAGACAAAGAAGGTATCCAGAGAAGTTATTTTTTATTTTTCACATTCGTACCGGTACTACCGTACCTTAGTTGTTCCTAACAATTAGGAGCTGTCTCTTATTTCATCTCATTTCTCTTGACATAGCCAGTGCACGCTGGCCCGCAATCACCTACGAACCCCATAACATTTCGAAACCATTCTAAAATGTAAATTTCTCTTAGACTCTCCAACCAAAAATTTGCGTATACTGAAGGTGAAAAAGGGGGGTGTTAGAAATTTATTTTTCCAATGATTTTTGGACACCAATGTTGTTCCCGAGTGAGTCGAGTCGCGCGAGTTTCGTCTGTCCATATATTTTCGGTTTCGATCCGTTTGCAACGGTAACTAAAGATCAGAGCCGACGATGGTGGTGATTTTCATTCATTCTCGATCCCAACACTCCGTTGTGGCCATCTTTCTTTCAAACAACAGAAACCAACTGATTTCTAGCGATTGAGAACAGATATCAACACGCTGATTTGAAACGGCAACTATAGATTTTGAGCAGTGAAAGCATACGGTGCGAGCCAAGAAGATATAATCAATCGAACCAAGCAGTGAACCAACAAAAACAAAATGCAAGAATCTCCGGAAGTAACGCAAGATGCAGTCACCGCTTCGTCTTTGGTCTCTGATGAGAACGAAGCCACAGGCGAACAAGATAAGGCAGAAAAGCTTCAGGACGGCGAGAAACAAGAAGTGGAAGTGGAGGAGGCAGCGGGCACGAATGCTCAGGAAGAAGTTTCACTGCCGGCCAAAACGGAAGCCGGAGGTACCACCAACGCTGCTGGTGATACGACATCAACCAGAATAGAAACTGCGTCTGTAGAGAACACACCAGAATTGGGACCGGAAAATGACGATGGCAAACCAGAAGCATTGGCAACCAACCAAAGCGACCAAAAAGAAGAGGACAAGGTTGATCAAGAATCTGCTGTCTCAAATGAGGAGACCGAATTTAGTGCTGTAACCGATGTTCCGAAAAGTGAGTCAAATGGAAGCAATCTCAAAACCGACAACAATAGCAACGGTGTTCCGGGTGTGGGCCAATCCAAGGGTGCAAAAATTCTCATGAATCGTTTCTCTACGTGGAGAAAGACTGCGAACGAGAAATTAAACACCCAGGCCCCAGTCTTATCTGAAAATGCGAAGCAAGCATCGGAATATGCACAGCGAGTCTTAAAATCGAATTCATTGTCTTCCGTCATGCCTTCGATGAACTTGGCATCTCGGTTTGCTTCGCAAAAGCCAAAACCGACACCTAATCCCGTGGATGAAAAGATGGAGACGGCATTAGATGTTGAAGCAAAGAGTGAGAACATCATTGATAGTAAGAAGAAGGAGGAGGATGCGGTTGCCGATGGTAGACGAGAGGCAGAGGGAGAAGCAGAATCCACTTCGAATCTCGAGTTACCCAAACCTGTTTCGCAAGGTTCATTGTTGGACAACGATGAGGATGACCATGACGAAAATAATATTGGCAATGAAACGACACAGAAATCCGAAGGAGTTGCAGTGGGAAGCGCTACTATAATTACAGCAGAGTCTCGAGAACGGGTGAGAGCCGTTTTTTCGAAAGCTTCCACAACGATGGCCGAGTCAGTTGCCACCGGTTTTCGTGGTCGATATAAGAGAGATGTCTCGGCAACCACCAAACCTACAGAAAGTACAAATGCTGACCTTAACGATCAAGCCAAAACAATACAAGAAACTTCCCAGATGGCTCTGATTTTGAAGAGTCGGGCTGGAGAATACATGCAAGAAATTCTTGATAAACTTGAACCATACGAGTTTGCTATGTTGCTTGGCAGAGGAATGCTAGGAGTCAATCTGAAGCAATGCTATCTTAAAAACCGTGGAATATTTGTCGATTACTTGGTGGACGGAGGGCAAGCTGCACAGTCAGGGCTCGTTTGTTCTGGAGATTTGATGGTTAGGCTTGGTGACTCAGATTTCCGCAAGGGAACTATCAAGGACATTCCCATCAAAATTGGTCAGGCTAAACGCCCGGCAGTTTTAGTTTTGGCAACAGGTACGCAGGTTGCATTGGAGCGAATCAATTTTGTTGACGTCGCCGTAGCCATGATGCACCGTGCCCGCAAATTTTACATTGATAGCGGGAAGCTTTCCGTCTTCCCAAGTGAAAAAAAGACTACTACAAGTGTGACTCCTGTCATTACTGATAACGATAAAGAAACAATAGCAACGCCTCTTTTTGAAAAGGAAGAAAAGAATGACGACCCAGATTCTTCTGAGACAAGCGAGTCCATTTGTGACGTTACGATCGAAGCCAACGATACAGTGGATGCTTACATGAGCCCGCCGTGGCCGACCCTTGCGGTTCGCAAAGAGTTCATTGATGAAACATTCCTGCGATCTTTGGATAACTTTGTCGTGTCTGACCTATGTGATGTATTGGATATTGACAGTAATTTTCGATCGGCAATTCGAAATGCATTTCTGGTTTGTGCCTTGGATAGTCGCAGACTGCCCTTCTTGGCAAGACACTTTTCCGACGAAGTTATGCAAATTTCCTCCAAAAATCAGGGAAGTGCTGAAGAAGAAAACAACAACAACATGACCCCAAGCGCGCAACTCATGTTATTTCTAGAACTTTCATCCTTCCTGGATCTTTACGACGTTACACCGCCAACTCGTCTCAAAGACGTCGCCTCGAGAATAGCGTACAAGTTCTTCTTGCCCACAAAGATAGGAAATGGCATCCAGCCTCCTCTCTTCGATTTTCATCAAATTGTACCATATTCATCTCTACGTCATTTGGAGTTTGCATTGAATGGGAAGAGTGAATCTATACCCCGGGACCTATTTTTGGACTTCCAGAAGTCGATTGTCGACTCGTTGTCTGGAGCACCATTTCTCTCGTTTTTGGCATCTGCTGACTGCTCACGAATGCGCGCCTATCTTCGTGACACCGCTCCTTTTGTAAATTTATCCTTCAGAAATATGATGGATGCAATGGCAAAAGGGACAGAAACCGCCAAAGACACTGCTGCCGCACACAACTCCTTTTCTTATATTTTGCTCTACCTGATCTGTCGTATGGAAAAGGAATGCAGTGGTGAATACGATTTTGGCATAGAAAATGAAGCGAATCGACGCCTACTTGGAGCTACGAACGACATTTGTTGTGCTCTATTTATCAAACGAACACTATTGCCGACTATAGATTCTATTATGAAGGAGGGGGACAATTTTTCACAGTCATCGTCGGAGAAGTTGATGTCAGTGGTCGAGCAATTTTGGAGTTTGTACCTTGACGAGTCTCTTGAGTTGTCAACACGAAACGCCGAAATCGAAGGCATTCACGTCAAAGTTCGCAATATTATTCAGACAGTTAGCGCAGAATTCCATGAATCATCTGATTTGCTCCCGCGTACGTGTGTGTCATTAATTCTCAAGTCAAAATTAGCAGAGGAAGCTACCGTTCTTGCAGATGAAATATTTTATGATTATGCGGCAAACACAAACAGCAAGTTTCGTGACCACAAGTTTCACGAGTGGATGTGTAGCGAATTCGCAAAGGCTCTTGGCGGTGACCCTTACTGGTATAGGACACAGTCGGTTCCAGTGCTTCCTCCAGGATGCTTGAAACGTTTCCTTCGGAGGGTCGAGCTACCAAACGGTGTGTCGTCACACAAACCCTATCAAGTTACACCGAAGGAAGAACTAGAGCGAAATTACCATAACGCAGACTGGGCCGTGGTCTTTGGTTCTTCAGTAGGAACAGAACTAGCTTCTCAAATGGCAGTCCCTGGACTAGACTCGCCTGATATTCGACGCTATACTTGCCTTCCAGTAGCACTGGATTGTGATCATACTGACTATGATGACTTCCGACCAGAGCAAGTTCTTCCAGCCACGTTCGAAAGCTATGCCTTTGTTCCTCCTAGCAAACCAAAACCTTTTCAATCCGTAGTAGATGCAGGACGTGTTACCACTGATGGATGGGAAGTCTCTCTTGTGACTTTCACAATTCCAAATGCCGACTCTAGTTCCTCGGGAGACGCCACTGAATCTGCCTTGTACGGAGTTTCACTTTGTTTGCAGCGCATTTCGTCTGATGGAAAAGATCTCGATAGCATCGTGACAAAGCTTGTAAGCAAGGAAGGAGAATTGAAAGAAAAAGACGAGACATGGAACTCTCCCATCTCGTTTGAAAAAGAATCGATAGACGGGAGCGAAAAATATGTACGAAAAGTAAGAGTTTCGTCAAAGCTTCCGATTTACGAACGGCATTTACAAGAAAAGACATGGGTAGAACGAGTAGAAGAAGAAGAATACCGTGATCAGACCAAACCTATATCAATGGGAATTGCGCTGGTCAGTCGCAGAAATGTTATTTTCTCTATGCGTGATTCTTTGTCGAGATTATTCTTTGATTATTCGAGAAGTCCTGGGCAATCACTCGAAGTAGCGAAGGCGTCGACCACGTGCAATGCTCTTGTCGAAATACTGGGTGCGCTTTCTTATCAAGATCACGAAGGATCCGTTCTAAGGGACCTTCTTGCTCCCTACTTGCGAGTAGCTTCAAACCCTTGGTTGGAGCGTCCATTTGACGAACAAGAAAAGATGTTTGAATCGCATGCACTGAGACAGCTCACTGACTGCTTGCCTCCCACGTCTCTAGCTTTGCTTTTCGTTACTGCTCTTTTGGAACAGAAGATCATATTTTCCTCTGGGAGGAGGAGCGTTCTACATGCCGCCTCGTTGGGCCTAGCAACCTTGCTTCGTCCTCTCAAATGGAGTCATTTGCTAGTGCCTATGGTACCAGGTGCTCTTGCCAACGATTTGATCCAGTATCCCGCCCCATTTATTCTTGGAGTTCCGTCGGAAGATGCGGATAGCATGGATTTGCTCGGAAATCTTCCTCGAGATGTGACACTCGTCGATTTAGATGTGGGCCGAGTTATTTTGGCGCCAGATTTTGGGCAAGACAACGAGATGTGTCGCAAGACTGCAGATACGAAAGCCACTGCCAGAGCTCTTCGTTCCCAAGTTCTTTACCTGGCACAAGGTCTCGGTGAAGTTTTTGGCAAAAGCTTGCGCCCCGACTCGTGGGTCAGTGACGAGCCGTCTTTGTGTGCAATGGCCCCAGGCAAGATACGTAATGACGAAATGTCTATCACAGCTAGGTTAGATCAGCTTCGACTGTCGGCGAAATCTTTCATCGACGAAATCTTAGCCGGAAGTGTTTCCTGCTGTTATTGGATCGAGGAATTGACACCAACATACGGTTCTTCGGTGGAACCCACTGTATTGTTCGACGAGGATAAATTCTTCGAGATCAAGAATCATAGAGCAAATATGGCCCCAACACCTCTCTTCAATCGGATTCCATCCAAAACGGGTTCACTGGTATTGGTCCTGGACGATTTTGATTTGGTGCTCGAAAGCTTTTTGCGTTGCCAATCGATGAGTATTTACATCAGTTCCAGGCCAAAGAAAGATATGTTTTACTTCTGATCAGAAATAATCATGGGCAATGAGTATTTTAGATGTTGCAGATATTCTACGCGGGTGGCTTTGTTTCTTTAGCATCAACGCAAGTAATTTGATATCCCCTTCTATTATAACTCTTCATTTCATAAAGCATTATGGATCTGAAAGTCTCTAGTCAATTTTGAAAATTTTTGAAGGCCGAAGTCTTGGTCTCTTTCGCTTCAACCATGACTCATGAAAAGCCCATGGTGACTGCTTGGGAATTCCGATATATTGCTCCACGGCGTCCGTCTCCAGTCTCATTTTGTGGCCTGTATTGTTGCAATCGGTGGTAGGGGCAATCATTGGCGTAGGAGTTATTTTTCGAGAGGATTTCGCTCCTGTGTTGCCAATACTTCTGGGATATGCTGTTGAACGTGGCTCATAGATGCCACAGCGATCGCTGGCTAGAGGAGGAGTCACCATGGACTCGGATGTTCTTTGCAAGGATGACGCTCTCGCTAAAGCGGTAGTAAGAACGCTCTGGGTCTCGCATGATTTTCTGTTCTTGCATTCTACCTTGAAGTAAGAATGGCGAAGGGCTTCCCATGCCGTCGGTCGCCGTTCTGGACAAAGATGCAAGAGAGCATGAATGAATCGTACCGTTTCTTGGTCTGTAGTTTCTATCTTGGAAGCCAACCTATTCCTTACCATCCCTTCGTTCCTTTCATCCTGGCCGTAGTCGTCCAAGAAGTCGCAGCACTTTGCCCTATCGTCGCCGAAGAATGATGTAGGCGTTCGATAATGCGGTGGATCTGTGAGAAGCAAATTCTCGATAAGTCGCAATTGCTCTGGCTCGTCTCTGCCCTCAAAAAGCGGTCGGCACCGATACAATTCTGCCGCAACGCAACCCATTGCAAACGTATCTATTGCTTCGGTATAAAAAGCAACGTCGTGTTTGCTTTCGTCGCCATTCCCGATCGGATGGGTTGTCGCAGAATGCGTACGGAGGAGCTCTGGGGCCCGGTACCATCGTGTTCCAATGTAGTTTGTCATGGTGCAACCAGTATCATCGAGGACAGGAGCCTTGAAGCAGTGGAATGCGCTGCTGGCTTGGTTGCAACTTCGCCGTGGTGCTTCTTTTTTTAGTTTTCTGTCCATGCCAAATGGACGGGCCAACGAAAAGTCTGCTAGCTTGGCCGTTCTTCCATGCAACAATATATTTTCCGGTTTGATATCTCGATGGACGTACCCAAGGGAATGGATGTGGCGGAGACCATGGAAAATTTGGCACAAGATCGAACGGGTTTCGGAATCACGGAATGTGTGACCGTTTTGTGATATCTTTTGTATGCACTGGGGCGATTCGGCCTTAGATTTAGCTTTTGCAGCAATATAGTCTTGAAGGCAACCATCCTTCATGTATTCCATGACGATATAGAGACAAGAATCTCGTTCACGAAGAACTTCAAACACAGAAACCAAGTGATCACTACCGTTGTGACAGCCGCAACAATCAAAGCACTCTTTATTCTCCTTTGATTCATCGTTTGTGGCTCTTTCCTTCTCCCTCTTTCTCATGAACATTTCTATGGCTTTGAATTCACGTTCGACGACCACATCCTTCCACGATGGAAACACCTGTTTCAATTTCTTCACGGCATATAGCTAGTACATGAAACATGTAGGTTTTTGGAGGAAACAATATGGTCTCATGAGTCCTCAGTCGAGAATCAAACACGCGTTTCAGACTTGCCGTCCATCATCTTCTCACCTCGTGAATTTCTGTTTCTTTCTTCCTCGCTCGATAAACGATTCCAAAAGTTCCTTGTCCAATTTGTTCTTCCAAAACATAGCGGTTCATAATACTTCCGTCTCTCTATGATACAAAAAAAGGTTGCGGCAACATTTTTTTGAGAAGGAAGGGGTCGGTTGTTTGATTGCTTGCTCTCGCCTCGGCTGAAGCTGGCCTTGTGGTACTCTCTTCGCAAGAACTCCTGTAATTTCTAGAAAGCTTCCTTTTCGTGTTCTCAGACGAAATGTTTCTTGAAAATGATCCACGACTGAGAAACCTGAAATCTGAAATCAAGTTTAGAATCTGAAATCAAGTTTAGAATCTGAAATCAAGTTTAGAATCTGAAATCAAGTTTAGAAGGAAGTGGATAGGAAGTACTATGCGTACCTACTTCGTAGTAACCGTACGCCGCACATAAATAGTACAGTACCAGTAGACTCGTACCTATTGGTTGGCAATTTTCAATTTTCATTCTCGTTGTACAGTACGTACTTGGTACGACTACTGTTCGTACCATTAGTGTTCATACACGTAATATGTGTGAACACGCCGTACGGTATGTTTGTTTTCACTTCGCCGAAGAGATCCGGTGATCAAATCAAATACAGCTAAACCTTCTGCTATTTTACTAGTAGTAGTACTTCTAGTATCGTCCAGCGAAGATAGACATCGCGAGTAAATTGTTTCTATTCTGTAGACTGCATCCACTACGAGCACGAACGAGCACCCGTACCATCAATTATGAGTACTGAGATAGTGATTAGGCATTGCCTTTCATCAATTGCATCACCGCCATGAATTCGATATCTCAACTCTTTATAGCACCCTTTCGTAGTGTCTCCAACATCTATGAAAATTGAGCAAGAATCCCACCCGACGTGAGACGAGTGGATTTCGACCCTTCGTCGTGAACCTAAATGCGGTTCATCTTGGAGTTTGCGACAAACGAAGCTGCATCTTGTATTATTGTTCTGTATCACTGAATTGACAATTTGGCGTAAAATAATACAATCATGACTGACCAAGAAATGTCGCAGTCCAGTGAAATTACAACCGGCGAAATTGAGTTACAGGCCTCTGGCGTCGCCTCCAACCCTACCCAACCTCCGGGAAATCCCGAAAGATTGGAAATGCTTTTCATACCGGCAAACCGGTCCCCCGAAAACCCTCCATCGAATAGCGGTGCTCGCAATCATTTGCTTGATCACTCAAGTATTGCACAAAGCCATCACTCTGCAAGAAGGGCACTGGTGTTTAGTACGAACGTAAATGGGACAGGTGCTCACGACACTGGCACTCGTTCTCAGGCTCCAAATATAGCTGCATCACAATCACAGAGTTCCCCGAGACATATTGCAAGATGCGAAACATGTTGCATCCGGACGTTCCGTAATTTCATCTTCTTCCTGACCTACCCGTGCGTGCTCCTCATAACTATGTGCTGTCTCTTGGCAGTCCTGATCTTTTGTGTTGTGCCTACAATGATATGCATGATCATTGTAACTTGTTTGTATTACTGTCTCGCAAACGACCCGGTGCCCGTTTCCTCGTTGGTGCGACACATTTTTATTGGAGAGGAAGCGGACAATTCTTGGTACGTGAGGGGGGGACTCTATCCGAACGGAAACGACAGAGACGGTGCCGAAGTCAATCGAGAGCTGTTTCAATCGAAGTTGGTAGTTCGAGAGCTCTTACAAGTCAAGAAGCATGCTTCATCGCCAGAATATGGTGACGCTGATAACATTGGAGCTATTGATGATGGGCATACTCACGAGAGATACGATTCCAATTCAAAGCTCCACGCCGGGGAAGAGTCGGGGGGAAATGCTAAGAAAAACGAAATGAACAGACGTGGTTTATTGGATAGCCGCTTCTCTCGTTGCCACCCCTTTCCAATTCAGATTTTGACCGAAGGCAAATTGTACCGTTTCTCAGAGCCTCTGAAGGCACAAATGAAAGATGACAATACGGATAAATCGATACGCGCATTGAAGGAAGGAGAAGCTGGAACTAGCGACGATATCGAGAGCGGTCTCCCGAATCACGTGGGTGAAGATAACGACGCTTCGTCCTCTCTCTGTTTTCAACGCACAGCAGAAAATCAACTTTCGAATAGAAATCTTAGAGAGATCTTCCCACGAAACAATGTCGATACCCATCTCGAGCGCAATCGAAGCGAATGCAATATTCAAGACGATACCGTACCTGATGCGGATGACACAGAAAACCACGGCGTTTGTGCCAGAATAAAGAATAATCACTTCGGTGAGGATACAGATACACTGCATCTACGATGTAATGAAGCCGACGACAATTCAAACAAGATTGGAGTCGATCCAAAAAGACAGGAGGAAGCTTATGGGTGTGATCCCGATGAGAGCATGCGAGATCGCGGAGCAATGTGCGACATTTGTCTCCTGGAGTTTGAAGCTGGTGATGAGGTTGCGTGGTCTCCAAATCTTAAATGCAGCCACACATTCCATAAAGAATGCATCTTAGACTGGTAAGAAACGAACATACAACATCGCGTCGGCATGCGTATTTGGTGGCTAGCACTCCCGCTAAATATTTTGCTAACTAGGTTTACTCTTTCCATTTTCGTTTTTCACATCACAATCACATTGTCCTTAGGCTTGTGAGGAAACAGACGTGTCCTACTTGTCGTCAGGATTATCTCAAGGGAAACACGGACGATGACAAAGAATAGGACGCCTAGCCAACTGAAAATGCAGATTGAAGTGAAAGGAGGTTCAAAGCTAAACGACTTTTCTACTTAAAGGGATTTGCTGGTAAATGAATTAGTGGAAGTTCAAAAGTTAAATATCCAAGAGCTGATTGGTGGACCGAAGTTTTATCGGAATATCCTTGAAGTATTCGTTGCAATTCAACAAACAGGCGCTCTCTATTTTTTCTTCTTCTTCTTTTTAAGTTTGTAAGTCCGCATCTGTCGAACGCATCGAATGCGGTTGTGCTCTTCTTTGGACAAGTTGAGGAAAAGGAAACGGTTCAGATTTGGGAAACGATGACTGATGGATTGATTGATTCGACTCCACCAATAGTATCGAAATATGCATGCTGAGTAATTCCGGGGCAATCGATTATACGATATTTTGAAATGCAATTACACTAGACTCCCACCGACGCAATAAAATATCTCCCTAGAAATAAGACATGACAAGAACTCAAATATCCTTAATGTACTATCAAAACATGACCATAATATATCATTTGATGTATTACAGACGATTCCTATATTTGATTTTTAGGAGGCCCATCTTCATGTCAGGCTCCGACAGTAATGCTAGGCTCTGAGGCGATCAGGGTTTGAGGCTTCTCTTCCTCACGGTTCATTCACAATATATCTCATTTGCTAAGTAATCCTAGGTCCAAAATCTAGGAAGATGGATATTGCACGTCTTGAAGAGTTGGTTGTTACTTCTCGTCATCCCCCTTACAGTTGACAATTCTTCCTTGTCCATCCTGAACAAGTGGCGTTTATTCTCATTTTTTCCGCAGTGCTTGCCAATTCTTTGTTTTTCATCTTTACCATGGGGTGGCTTAGGTGCACCAGGACGTTTATCTTCTTCTCGGACTATGACACCAAGGCTGATGTTCCCGGAGATCAACTAATTGGCATGGCTCTTACGAATGCTGACATCTCGGGCGATCAGGATCTTGGGGCGGTTCTTCCTCAAGCTGTGTCGAGAGTATCTTGACCGACAAGTGAAAGCGCGAACATCGTCTATGCCAAATGTTCCTGCATCCGAGATCGAGGAGATTGGATCTTCCCGGGATTGATTTGTTCGATTCATTGTTGTTGTCGATTGAAAGTCGTTTGAAGTCAAAAATCAGTCCGTGTACCGGTATAAGAAAGAGAAGTAACCATGAAATACAGTACTAATTTGTCAGTTTTTAATGTATAAGAAAGAGAAGTAATCATGAAATAGAGTAGTAATTTGTCAGACGCATGTGAGCTGGACTGTAAGATGCAAGCTTTTGGTTTTTTCACTCCGTGATGTTGTTGTTTTCACGGAAAAAAATCTTTTTTTGATGGGTCTCTCGAAAACTCGAACTTTTTGATGTGTTTGACTACAAACGGAAACTGTTCAACGGGAACTAGGCGTAAAAAAGATTTTCAGAAGCTACTTTCAAACGGTAATTTAACTGGTACGTAATCAGTGAAGAATTAAGATAAGAAATAAGAATTCGAGATTCGAGACAACATTCAAGAAGTACGAGTATTGCGTACGTTCGCTCTTACGTTCGTACCGGTATGTCCGCTCCCGATTTTCGATTTTCGGCGTTTGGTAATTTTAGGGATTGACTAGTTCGAATAAATGAATCAATCTACGTCGTAATTCTACTGTACCCGGTAGAATTTTGTGAATCAATCTTTTCTTACGTGACGATGTCTTCGTTTTCAATTAATAATCGAGGGAGAAGCCGAGGTGACGTTTTCTGAAGAACAATCTAGCCATCAAGACAAGAAGTTCTTTTTAGATAACGTTGTGACACGTAAAGAACGTGACTTTCAATTGAAGAATAAAAAATGCAGCGATAAAAATAATACTTTCAGTGCCGTAGAATACTATCGGTAGGAAATGCCAGTACCTGCACAATAACGATTAATTACTCCCGCCGTCGTCAGAACAGAAAAAAGGCTTCGGGCGCGTTCAACAATCGTCATTAGCAGATACCTTTTCACATAACGAGCAACTATCTTCTACAAGGTGGCGACTTCGTTTCAATCAAAAGCACTAACAATCCTAACACAAAATCGATAAGAATGATTGAAAGGATAGAACGGCATTGCAGCATTGGTAGAGTATTATAAAACGCAAGGAGACAACGAAAAGAAGTTCATCAAGTAAGTAGCGTAGGATGCAGTACTTTTTCTACGAGGTTGCTCCTGCAGCTCCAGAACAGTTCGGAATTGTGCCTTTCGCTTCGATCAAAACACCGTTAAACAATCATTTTCTTCTTGCCTTTCCGGTTGAACTTTGTTGCTGACATCGTTTGTATCAAACTTTCTCCTTTGATCATCAAATGCATTGCCACTATCAACACATATCCAAATTCGAAGGAAAAGTATTGGAATACAACAAACAACGGCAACGAAGCAGAAATCCCAAGTTCGAATTCCAGATTCACGAATCTCAAATACCGCGGCATTTCATCAACAATTTCTCCGGTTATTTTCTGATTACCAAAACACAACAGCACTAACACCATGAAGTTCATGGAGAACGAGAAACTGAATCAAATTTCTTCCGAGCTCTCGGAGGCGGTTCTCAAAGATTCGCACCGGATGATACAGGGCAGAATCGAAGCGTACACAATGAAAAGAGCCGGCAACGACAAGAAATTTGCGCACGCACTGGGGCAGAAATATATTGCCGAGATCGAAGACCTTCAGGAAGAACTGGCAGCGACCGTCGAGCGGAAACGAAGGCGACGCAGCAATTCGGAATCTTTCCTCTTTACGACGACCAAAAAGTCGAAGCTCTCCCTGCCCTCAACGCCGGAATCCACGAAGGCTCCCAGCAAGCGGGAACGCGCAAAGTCCTTTGACTGCACGCTGGATTCTACATCTAAGACGACACTCGGAGACTTTTCGGAGATTTCCAMTCGAAAACTCATGACGGATCTCATCCTGACGCTGAATGCATCCTTTCCGGACTACGACTTTTCGACTGTCAAGCCGAATCAATTCCAAAAAGTCAAGATGGCCGACGTCCGCAAGAGCATCCACGAGAATCTCTCAGAATTTGCGTCGCAGCGAAGCTCTCCGAATTTCTTGGAAGAACTCTGGGATGCCCTGAACGACGTCATCGATTTGCAAGAGGCCAATGTGTACTCGTTCGATTACGAATTCGCAGACGACGACGAAAGCGGGAACAATTCCCTCTGGAATTTCCACTACCTTTTCGTCAACAAGTCCGTCCGACGAATCGTCTTCTTTACTTGTTCAGAACGAATCAGTGATGACATGACGGGTGCCCAGGGAAGCGCCGACGAGGTCGACGACACCTCCGAACGGGTGGAATACTATGCCAGGGAGAATGTGTACACACCCGTGGACGACGTGGACTGGGATCCCGGAGACAACATTGCCGGAGGAATGTCTGTGGAAGTCACGATTGGTGGGTAATACAACTTCAGAAGAAGAGGCGAGGAGAGGAAGAGGATACATCGAGCAAAAGAAGACTCGGTCGGGGACGAGAAGGGACTACCAAAGTATCGAATGGGTTATTGCTTTACAGCAAAAGTCGATACGTGGATCCTTCCTTTGTGGGTACTATGGAACGGAATTTTTACTCCATGTTGTATGCTTCGGATACATGGAATTTTAGTATTTTTATATAAACTTTTATATAGATTCTGAGCGGGACAGCGCAAAACGTGGGGATATACTAGGATTATGTTGTGTCCCTGTTGTCATGGCATTCGCCCTGCGGTTGTGCGGCATCGAGTAGGCAAGCGATTTCATTACGGAGCGATGCAAGAGAGATTACAATGCGCATGCGACGAATGAATGAATTACATCCAACCGGATGGTGTTCTACGGAGGGCGTAACAAAATAAAATGCCTAGATGATAATTCGATTTTATATTATTTTAGTATAATGGATTGATTCATTCAATGTTTATGCATGCGTACACTGCAGCACAATCGCAGTCTGGTCCTTATCTCGCATTGCCTTGCGGCGTACAGCAACCCAATGAGCAAGATTCCTGCTGTAGGGTGCACCGCTTCGCTCTGCTTCGTCTAATAAAAGTCGCCGTAATCGATGCCCCCGTGGTCGCGCCAATCGCCCTCGCTCTTCCAGACCTTACTCACCGAGTCCTGGATGGGGGTCAGACCAACGACGACGCCGATGGTGCTTTGGGTTGGTGTTGCGGAAGACGACTTTGCACGCTTCCTCTTGGAAGAAGGAGTGCGATTTCTTACCGATGGTGGTGTAGCAGCGTACCGCTTTGTGGAAGGGCTTTGGCCCCTGGTGTTGGTCTTGTCGAACAAGGCCAGCGACGAGGGAGACGCCCGGCGGGGACCACGGGGTGAGAGCCCTTTGGCGGGTGGCTTTGGCCGCTTCTTCCGAGCGATGCCGGGGATCTTGGTCTTGGACTTTTGGTTTCTTGCCTTCTTGCTTCCGCCAAAGTCTTCGTCGGCGCTGCTTTCGCTTTCGCAATCGGTTTCCTCGTCGGTAGCGCTGTCGACCTCGGCGTAGGAGAGCACTTTGTTCCGAGAGGCCGCCCGGGGGGGACGCCCCCGCGGCTTCTTCTTCACCCCCTCGTTTTCGAGCTCGACCACCGGTTCCGGCCGCTTCCTGGCAGTCGCACGGTGCTTGTTCTCGTTCTGGTGGTTGCCGGTCTTCCTTTCCGCGAGGGGAGGCCTTCCGCGGCGGCCGCGGGCGGCAGCGGTGCGCTTGGTCGGCTCCGGGGAGGGCGAAGGAGACCGAGAGGCCGATTCCGATGGGCAAGAACCGGTGCTTTCCTGGACGCTCGGAGCAGGGCTCCGGGGCGGAGACGAACCACTGCAGTTGCCACCGTCGGCTTGCGTCTTCGGTGCCGCCCTGCCCCGAATCGTTCTCCGGGTGTGTCGTGGTGACTCGGCAAGCGGATTCTTCTCGGCAGCGACAACCGATCGTGTCTTGGCGGAGCGAGACGAGCGTCGGGGCATGGCGAAGCGAATGGATGAAAACAATCAACAAACGAATTGAATGAGGAAAGGGCACTAGAGCTAGCAGTACTTGCGTGCGTCGCAGTTAGTTGGTTTTTTTAATTCACGGAGATAGATCGTGGGGAAATAAACAATGGAAGAGAAGCGAGGGAGAAGTGAAACAAGAAGTTGTGGTGCTTTGACCTCTTGTTTTTGTTGTTGTTCTAAGAGAAGGTGGTTTCCTATGCTTTTGTCGCAATCGACGATACCACGAAAGAGTGGAGAGATTTTTTCAAAGAAAAAGGAGATGCGAATTCGCGCTACGGCTCACTGAGTACAATCTTACGCAGTGGTAGTACTTGACTTACTTGTCACCTCGCAGCCGTACCGTACGGAACGTACGAGTACGACATCTAGCCTGTGAGTTCCCGTGTTGTGAAAGCGCTACCAGATATTCTCGCCCTGCTCGAACGATTCCGGCCGCGATAGGATCCTACGTACAGGCCTGTACGGTAGTATTTTTTTCCTTCGTTGTACAAGAACTAACCGCACTACCTGTACTGTATTGTACAGTATTGTACGTACGTATTGTGCTTCTTGGAATTGCAGATGGTGACAAACCGTGATCGACACATTCTGTACTTCATCGGGTGACTATGGTACGTACCATAGGTACGATAGTACCGTTTGGATTATGGATCGTGCTGGTTCCATGTACGTACTTTACGGTACGGTAGCACGTACCACTCTTGTCTGCTGTTCACGTGATGATCAGCACGGTTTCAGATCCCAGTGCCCGTATCGTTCGATACGTACCAGGTACTCGTACCAGTACGCTACATAAGTCTTCGTATTCGTACTATTTCTAGAGGAAAATACTACCGTAATGATGATAGATAATTATCCATGCACCATCCATGCACTCACAAACCGAAACTGTTTTTTCAAACTGTTGACTCGACGTTTTTTCTGTAACCAAAGAGTCAGAGTCCCGACGAGGCATTCCATAATTTAGATTTAGAATACGAGTGAGAAAGAAAGACCTGTCTCTCTCACTGTGAAAACTGCAGCCCGGAAGGCACCCACAACACAGCCTTTCGAATATTCTTGCACAAGTCCACCCGCAGAGGTTCCACGCAAACAGACGTCGCTCACAGGCCTCTGGGAACATGGCAAAACCGTCGCCGCTTCAGCCGGAGACGGGAACCCTCTCGCTTTCACCCCCATCTCCGAGGGGAAAGAAGCGACCGCGAGGATGGGGGAAACAACCCGCCGGCATCGAAACCGGAAGCGAGCTGGCCTCCGGGAAGCAGGAGAAGCAGCATCGACACCCCGAACGACAACAAATACAGCACCAACAAAAGCAGCAGCGGCCAAACCTGCGTGCGCAAAGAATCATCGTGCTCGGTGCGGGAATCTCGGGCCTGGCGTGCGCCCGGGAGCTGAAGCAGAGGGGATACGAGGTCTTGGTGGTGGAAGCGAGGTCCAGGGTCGGTGGCCGGCTAAAGGGCGAAGTTTTGGAGCTCGGAGCGGACTATCCAGTCACGCTGCCGGAGCTGTCGGCAACGAGAACAAAGACGAAAAGAAAAAGGAAAACAGAAGGATCATCTGCGTCAAAAGCAAGAACGAAGCAGAGAAAAACGACGGGGGATGGCAACGATAGCAGAGACAGCAACAAAGAAAACCACACAGCAACGACACGGAAGCACCCAATCGACGTGGGTGGCGCACTTATCCACGGAATCGAGAACAATCCGATCCACCAGATCACGTCCCAGATGGGGGTTCCTATTCATTCCGTTTCTGAGTACTGTCTGCTCACGGACGAAAACGGATGGCCCTTCGATCCAAAGACGGACGAACGGACGAGCAACTTTTTCAACGACTGCCTCGACGTTACCTTTGCGAGGGCCAAACTACAACGTGACAGTGGGGAAAGCTTCGGAAGCCTCTTCGAAAGGGTTTGCCGCGAGAAGACCGGGACGGTGGCTTATGGCTCGAAACAGAAACAGAAACAGAAACAAAAACAAAAGAACAGCAACTGGGAAACCCCTCTGCTTAAGTGGCACCGGTCCAACCTCGAGCTCCCCAGTGGAGCCAGTTTTTACGACCTAGGAACCACATGGAACGAGGACGAGCCCTATGGTTTTGACGGGGTTCACGCAGCGGTAGAGCCGAGCTGGAACCTGGTCACGGACCATCTTTCGGAGGGTCTGAGCATCCTAAGATGCTCCCCCGTGACCGACGTGCGGATCGTCCTACCGAATGGGACGACGCCGCTGAAACTTGCGGAACCCACGAAACCACCGGCTCTGGTGGGAGAGAGCCAGAGCAGGAATGGCGAACGCACAAAGAATCTGTCCAAACCCGAAAGCAGCGAGGCAACCACACTATCGACATCAAAAGCTACAGAAGAAGAAAAAAACGAACTGCCCGAGCAGACGAAAAGCAAATCACAACAGCAGAAGAAGCACGAAACACGGCAACGACCCCCACAAAAGCCACAACGTCAAGTCCATAAACGGAACCCAAAGCGATCAACGAATTTCCTTGATTCCACTGTTCCTGCGAGGCGCCTTTCGCGGCGCCAGCGCAATGTCGATGCCAACGTGAGGCGATCGGCACGGGCTACCAAGGGAATCATAACCCGATTGGAATTCGATCACGGCTGGGACGAAAGCCAGGCCCGCAAAAAACAAAAGAAGAGGAGCAGCAACAACGATGCCGGGGACCATGGCAAAGTCAAGCGCAAAGCAGCAATACTCACAGAGGCAGAGAATGACAAGCAAAGAATACCAAATGGTGAGGCAAAAGCAGCCGAGGAGAAAGTAGTCAAGTACGATCCCTCGTCGACGGTTCAGGTGACACTACGGGATGGGACCGTTCTCGAGGCGGACGCCGTTGTTTGCACCCTGCCGCTGGGAGTTCTCAAGCTTCCACCGAGTGATCCGTGTCACGTTCGATTCGTTCCCCCGTTGAGCCCCACCAAGACGAAGGCCATCCAGAATCTGGGCTGCGGCCTCCTCAACAAGTGCGCCATCTCCTTTCCCTCCGTCTTTTGGCAGGACTCGGACTTTTTGGGACAGGCTCGATCGGAGTATTCCTACCTGGTCCTGAACGCCGCGAACTACACACAGAAACCCGTTCTGATTTTTATGTACGGGGGGGACTTTGCCAGGGTTGTGGAAGACTGGACCGATCGCCAAATCGTCGAGGACTGTCTGGAGGTCCTCAAAAAGATGTGCGTGGGAAGCAGAGCGGAGAGACAGATCCCACCCCCTGTCGATTACTGCGTCACGCGGTGGGGCAAGGAGGAATACTCCCGGATGGCCTTTACCTGTGTCCCCCCGGGGGTAGACGGGGCGGCCTCCCTAGCAGCCATTTCCGAGCCGATCCCCGATCCCGTGTTGCCACAAAAACCCCTGGTCCTCTTTGCCGGGGAGCACTCCACACCTTACCACCCATCGACTATGCACGGGGCTTTTCTCAGCGGGATCCGGGAAGCCTACCGGTTCGATCTGTACATGGAACCGGTGCTGAACAACCATTTGGGCTTTGACGAGAAGATCCACGTATACAAGCACACCTTTGCCACCCGGCGGGTCTACAAGAAGAAACGCAGTGCGAGTGGAAATCGCGACAAGGCCGCCGAAGCAACTACGAGTGCGGAAAGCGCAGAACCGAACCACAACGGCGGGCATTCGCATTCGCGGCGCCGTGGATTCAGTGGCATGACCCTCCGGAGCCGCTTGTCTGGTCCCTCCGTTTTGGGGCCCACTCCAGAAGCAGCAGCGTCCAGAACCACCACCAGCCCGCCCAAAAAGACACGGAGGTCGACTTCAGTTGGACTTTCTTCTCCTACGGCTTCCGGCACCCGCCGGAGCCAGCGGTCTCTAGCCTCGACCCCGGCCCTATTCCGAGAGACGGAGACGAACCACAAAAACGGAACCACCAATGGAAAGTCTAACGATAAAGCCGCCAGTGAGCAGGAGAATCGCACCCTGCTCCGTGCTCTCGAGAGCTACGGGAGCGGAAGCTTTTGCGAGTCGCTACTGAGCTCCCACATCCTTCCGGTCTACAGCTCAAAGAAGAACCAGCGACGCCGAAGCAGTAGCAGCAGCGCCAAGAAGATCAAGGCCGCGTGGAAACGACTCGCTGCGGTGCGAGGGGACTCTACCGGGACGGATGATGCCGGAAATGCCACCAACGACCAATTGTTGCAATCCTGGAAGGCGCAGCACATAGTTAGGGACAACTCTTACACCGATTTCGCTAGGATCGCGATGGGGGCCGCTGCCGAAGCGGCCGTTTCCTCCGCTGGGAATGCCCTTGGCCCCTTGTCAAACGCTGCCGCGAGCACCAACAAGGCCGGGGGTCCCCGCAGATCCCAGCGCGGCAGTGCCAAGCGCAGGGAATTCAGCTATTAGCATAGGGAAAGATAGATGGATTACCAGCTAGATTCCAATGCACGAAAAAGAAATCCATAAAGTTCGAAGAAAAAAAAGCATTGGTTTTAACAACGCCACGGGTCTTAAGTACTAACTACATGCCTCTATGCAATAATGGGCCGGGCCATGGCACCTGTTCTTCTTGGTCTGGTTCTGTATAACATCCCTCGTCGTTACCTATTTATTTGGATGCTGCTAATCGAATACTCTTCTTTGAATGAACTGGACCCATGAAAGTTTCTTCTCCTTTCTCAAAAGAACAAACACAGCCCTATACGAACAACTACTATTGCCATTGCCAATTAGTAACGAATGAATCGAGGAGGCGATGTTTTGGTCAACTTGTTTCTCCAAGTGCGTCGGCCCTTGCTGTTTCAAAAGCATTAGCATACTGTAAGCCATGGAGCTTTCCCTTGTCGATCTGGATCGATTTTGCTGCAATGGGTTGTGTTCTGCTCTGATAGGTTCTGTTCCGTTTTCTTGATCAATCATTGAACTCAGCCGGGTCGCCGGAACCTCAGATTCACCACCCGCGGGCACTTTTCCGCTATGAATCCGAGCACCTCCGCCAGGTCCACCGACACGGTCGACGCGTTCTGCACCGCCACCAGTACGTCCCCGGTTCGAACGCCGGCACGCCCCGCGGCTCCCCCCGGATCCACCTCGGTCACGACGATTTGGTCGTCCTCGTCGCCGCCGCCCTGCTCTAGCACGATCCCAAAGGGTTTTTGCACCGATACCAGGATTTGCTCGCCGTCTTCGAAGGAAAAACCGGTGCCGACCATGTGGAGGCGGGTGGGTGGGTTGTGAATCACGCCAGCTTCGGGCGGCCCGCCTGCCAATGTCGGGGTGGGGGCGGATCGATAGCGACGTCCCAGCCTTGTCACCGCCGTCCATGCATCGCAGACAAACGGCGAGGGAGTCCCGAGCGCGAGAAGCAAGGGAAGAACCAAGCCGAAAAACGTGGAATTCATTGCTGTCACGGATTGGATCTAGACCGAAGTAAATACGAGTGCTGTCGAAAGTTCCAGATGAAGCGGGGGGAGATTGCACGACAATGAATCGTTCACGAGGGTGCTCACGGCATCGCAAGCAGACGGAAGATGAATGAAACAGCGAGATGGAATGTCGTGATCGGTAACGTACCCTACACTGAACTAGAGTCCTAAAGTGCAGTTCGTACTCGTACCTACCGTATTACGTACGATACGATACGTAATGTATGATGATGAGAGATGCGTCTAGCATCTAGCGTTTAGCGTGTGAAATACTACTAGTTTTATTTCGATAGCTGCGTACGTTCGTACGTACAAACGCAATGCCAGTAGGGTACCGTACGTATGGGTGATCGTACAGAACCTTAATGGGAGCACGACTAATGCCGTAGGCCGTACGAAGGTACTTGTACTGGGTACCGGTTGTACTCCAGGATACGGTACCTAGTACCTACATACTACTTAATAATCATATTCTTTGTATGTATGAATAGTATATTTTACGGTGTCGGAGTGAACTCTTCCAGGTCACTCGAGGTCTCCACAACCATCTATCAGTCGTGCGGGTCAGATTTTATTTTTCACCAACTTTGCTCGAATCGATCGATGATTGACCGATGGAGACTGGATCCCATCACTTCTTTAACGATGATAACAACATGAAACACAACACTAACTACGAGTACTGCTTTGTGCTTTCAATTCGGAACGAGAAATACATTCATAGGCATCCATGAGACGTGTCTACGGGAAGATCGGGTCCCCTCTGAACCGAGAACAACTAAAGCGGCGGGCCGAAAAAGACCGAAGAGGAATCTCAGTTGCATCGCTTTCGTCGCGGCGGCAGCAACAAACTAATCAGCAGCCGCATAGGAAAGTAGCATACCGCAGAAAGTTCCACTCTATCTGCAATGTGGGATCTCTGAGATCAATCGCAGCAGAAAATCGTACATGGTGTTCGGTGTCCGACATTCGTCTCCCGACACAACAAGAGCAACAACAGTATCCAAAAAACTTGAAACCGTTCCTTTCTCGCCAATTTGCAAGGAATCTCGTGAGACAGCATTCCACGCTAGACATGAAATCGGTATATAGGAAAACTACTTCACGCCTTCTGGCGACACCACTTGGGGGTCTGGACGACAAGCTCTGGAGCGAAGCGCACATGACCATCCTTTGGTGGCTCAACAACTCGTGTGGCACCAACAACGAGAACGCCCCGGCAACGGTGGTTTCGTCCGACGAGGCCTCAGAAGGCGTCCACAATGCCCTCGGTCTCTTGGACCGCATGTATGCGGAGGAGCAGGAGACCCTCGACGATCACGACGGAGATATTCCGGAGTTCTTCGACGAAGAGTTGTTGAATTTGATTGTGAATAGGTGGAGATTGCTAATCTCGTCGCACCAGGTTCTTCTGGATCGCAAGGAAACCAACAGTTCGGTGCGGGCAAAAGACGAGGACGACGAAATCACTATGATAACACCAAGAAACCTTCTCGATCGCCTCTACTGCTACCAGGAAACATCCCCGAGTTTGCAACCAAACATTCAAAGCTATGCCATGATTATCGACACGATTTCTTCCATGGTGGAAATCTACGACGAAGACTACAAAAAGGTCGAAAAGGAAGAGCTAATGGAAACGGTGGATGAAATAATAAACTGGGTCGTAGATCAAGCCTGTGACGACTATAGCGATGGCACTGACAATGGCGACGATTTGATTGCCAATGACACAATTCGAGACGAAGCCTTGCCGGGTGCATCTTCGTCGCTGCTGAAGCAGCAACGCCGCTACGCTCCGACCCCAAACGTGGTGCTCTTCTCGAGCACAATGAATGCCTGGGCAAAGAGCGGATTGAGTGGTGCACCCGAACGGGTAGATGAGCTCTTGGAGAACATGCACGATTTGCAAGAATGGTACCCAGAGTGGAACATTGCACCCAACAAGTTCACGTATTCGACCGCAATCGATGTCTGGGCCAAGGTACAGCGGGTCGATAAGGTCAAGGAGTTGCTCCAGAAAATGCACCATCAAGCGATGGAGAAAGACAATCCATCGCTCAAACCGGGATTGCCGGCCTTCAATGGGTATCTCGTAGCCCTGGCTAGGTCTGGCAGAGTAGAAGAAGCAGAGACTTTGTTGGGCCAGATGGAAGACCTCTACGCTTCCGGTGAATTGGAGGAGCCACCCAGCGTCATTTCATACACCACCGTCATCGATGGCTTTGCAAGATCCAAGCGGGAGGGCGCTTCAATGCGCGCGGAGTCCTTTCTGCGTCGGATGATCGACAGCGAGGACCTTTCCCCAAATGCCGTCACGTACAATTCGGTCATTAATGCTCACGTCCAGTCCTTCAACATCGAGGCGGCGGAGAACCTCTTGCAAGAAATGCACGAGACGTTTCTGCGGACCGGAAACATGGATATCCGGCCCACGATGCAATCTTATAGTGTTGTCATCTCGGGAATCGCCAAGAGCCGGCGGAGGGATTCTGGGATACGGGCCGAGCAAATCCTTGAGCAAATCAAGGAGATGGCTCGATCAGGCGACCTCGACAAACCGCCCGATGTCATCCTCTACAATGCGGTGCTCGATTGCTGGGCCAAATCATCGGTTACACCAGAAACAGCCTTGAGGGCGGCTACCTTTTTGGAGAAAATGAGGGAGGACGAAATCGTCCCAGACGCAATTTCTTACAATACCGTCATTCATTGTTTAGCACAATCAGGGAGGGCTTACGACGCAGAACTAATGCTCGAAAAAATGAAAGAAGAGGGTATCTACCCGAACTCAATCACCTATAACACTCTTCTGGCAGCATATTTGAATCAAACACAAACCAGAAAACTAGGAGGCTTTCACAAGGATCGTTCGATGCAATCGAATAAAACTGATACCGATAGAGCTGAAAATTTATTTGAAAGAATGAGAAACGATCCCAACATCGATCCAGACGTCGTAACATACAACACTATGCTTCATGCTTATTCTAGAGAAGGAGATATCGAAACGGCAGAGCGCTTGTTGCAAGAGATGTTTCTCGAGGATTCTCCGGTTGCTCCAGATTCTACCAGTATCAATACTGTCATAAACGCCTGGACGAAATCTGGTAGGGAAAATGCTCCACAGCGCGCAGAAGCTATTTTAGAGCAAATGCTCCACCCGAGTGATAATTCAAAGGAAGGACKGGATGGAAAGCTCGTCAAAATTCGGCCCACTTCTATTACATTCAACAGCGTCATGACGGCTTGGACCAAGACCCGCAGGGCAGAGGCTGCCGAGCGCTGCCAATCCCTTCTTAACCTGATGGTTCACAACGAGGACGGCGCAATTCAGCCAGATTATGTTACGTTCAATATCATGATATATGCATGGTCTCTTTCGACCCAAGATGATGCACCGGATAGAGCAGAAGCTTTACTTTCGGAAATGCGTCAAAGATTCAAAAGCGGTAACGCTCGCATGCGACCTAGCACCAAGACTTATGGATCACTAATCAACGTTTGGGCGAAAAGCAGACGACCAGAGGCCGGTAAAAAAGCAGAAGATTATCTGAGAAAAATCATTAAGATATCTGAAGGAAAGCAAAGGGGGCATCGCCAAAATTCGAGGAGTTTCAGAGAAGAGCAACCCCGAGTCTTTGAATTCACCTCTGCTATTCGAGCATGGTACAAGAGCGACGACCCTATGGCTATCTACAAGGCAGACGGCATTTTATATCTGCTACTGCAGGAAGTTAAAAGAGGGAATAAGCAGGCAACCCCTGATTCCAAACTATTTGGCGCTTTTCTCCAGATACTTGCCTCTAGTATGGTTCCGAAGAAAAACATTTATGCAGACAGGGTAGTAGAAATGATGATAGAGTTCAAGGTGAAACCAAATAAAATGCTACTTGATTTGATGAAACGATGTTATTCCGGTCTACAGGAGCGACCTGACATGTTGAATGAGTCACAGCAAGTCAACAACAAGCATTGAAGTGTTGCGTGGCCCTCACTTTATGTCAATCTATCATTCCCATCATTTTGATCGACTCCATGCTCCTGCACATGCCAAACAGTTTGAGGGAGAGATAACTACCATAATGTGCTAGCACAGCAGTAAGTAGTGCGAAGTATGAATAGCAGCACTACTATCATCTTTTACGATTTAATGCATTAGTAGTACTAGTAATAGTAGGTTGCATTTACCATTTCATGTATTTAACAAGGTCATTCCGAAGCGTTGCGCTACAGAACTAAAGTGTAGAGACGGGAGTAGTCGTTTTGAACCACAATGATGTAAGCATGACATACTAGCAGTAATATTAATGTGAATTTTCATTCTCAAAATGTCAATTCAAAGTGTCATTCTTGAAATTCAGTAGTGCTCGATTTGACGTTGTCATCAGACTATCGGTACTATTGTTACTGCTAGTAGTATCGCATATATGGTTTCTCGACAAAAACCTTTATGCTTAAGATAAAAGCGTAGTAGTAGAAATCATCATAGGAGCAAACGCTCAATTCAAGGAAACAATGCGAATGACACGATATTTCATTTTGATATTTTAAGGAAGACCAGGAATACATCTTTTGATACTCGGCAAGGAATATCATTGATTGATATTTGTGCTGGAGCTAGGTCAAACCATGCTTTTTTCACAAATACAGTGATGGACATAATTTTTTTAACGTCCCTATCTTTCGGTTACTAAAAATGAAAAACAGAAAGTTATTTTTCTTCAACGTAAAGAACAACCCTGCCTTGGGAGGACTGTTTTGACAACTCGACAATTTTTTTAAGAATTAGGATGGGGAGAGATAAAAATATTATTCGACATACTAAAGAAATAATGACCTCAATTCCACGTCAAAAGTATTGCTAAAGTCAGACGGCATATCCTGAGAAGCTAACCATTTTGTCGAGGTGGAGGAAAACGGAACGTGATTTTTGTGTGCCGTCAATAAATGTGACCGCTCCCTCCACCAACATTTATTGAGAATGATTCTAGGCCGCACCGTACCCCACATACAACCATATTCATATCGATTGTTGATGCCACAAATTGTCACGTGATCATTCACAAAAGTGAAGCATTGCATTAATACAGCCATTTCTGCGTTCCAAACGAAATCGTCTGAAACAACGTTATTTTCACATCAAACAGACGCTCTCTTCATTTTTTGTGAAAGTTGGCTGACCAAAAGCAAAAGTGAACGCTTCACTGTTGTACTTGGCATACTACCTCTACTATTGCACAACTCCGATCGCTGTATCCAGAACAATTGGAGATGAGTAACCTTGCTATCCTTCTCAATAATCAAGGGGTCAACTTGCTCACGAAAACCAACAAAGCTCCATGCGAGGTGGATACAACAACAATTGGCAATAGATACGCCCAACATGATGCACGTAACGACAATCGAATGACAGCTACTACGATATATCCTAACGATTTAGATCGTGCTACCGCCTTTTTTGAACGAGCTCTGGCTCTGATATTGAGGAGTGCTGAAGTTTACAGAATTGGAGGGGGACTACAATACTATGAACCTGATGGGCAGGGCATGATTCAATTCGAATGTGACGGCATTGGGGCCCAACTGATTGGTGGGCTTAACCTACAAGATACCGGAGTTCGAATGAATGGCATCGACGATGAAACTTTTATTCACTGGAAGGCCGTCAAGATTGGAAATGACAACTACGTACTCGAAGAGAATGCGACTTTCCTTGATGATAGCAAGCACGATGGTAGAGAATACAAACATCTGAGTGTATCCATTTTTCACTCCATGATCTGCATTTACAACCTGGGTTTGTGCTACCAATATAAAGGGATCCAAACATCGTCAAGAAGTTTACTAGAAGCAGCCGTCGATCATTACATGCAAGCCTATGAATTGGCCACACGTTTCCGGTTGCAACACATCGATCAATACACATTATTGATGACAACCATGAACAATTTGGCGACTACCTATTCCTTTTTGAACGAACCTGATCGAAAAGACGTCTGCAATCACTATCTTCTATCGACATTGATGCTTTTGACAACCTCCGAAGAGGGACAAGAAAATCACCGCGAAGCCACTCACAGCAAGTGCACACAAAGTCGGGCACGCCAACATACATATCAGAGCTTCATGTCCAATGTCATGTACCTAATATCACCCCAAGAAACTTTAGCTCCCGCCGCATGAAGGAGAATGCAAAAATTGTGGCTTTGAACTTAGCATCCTGTAAAACATTGTACACAGCGACAGACTTCATAAATTTGCTCTAATAAAACAGAAATCACCCTGATGTTCATTTACAAAATTCCCGTTGAAGAGGGGCACAAACCTAAGTTTATTCAATCAACTATGCGAGAGGTCATTCTTACCAACGGATCTCGTTCACTTCCTGCAATTTATTGAACAGTCCCGCACTCGTCCAATAACTTGTTGGCCGAGGGGCAGTCATAGTTGACTTGAAGATCGGCGTTAAGCGCCTACAACAACATTAATATTACTTCACTTGCGGTTGCGGCGTGACCTGACTCAATCCTTTCTGTGATATATACCTCTGTCTCTTCATTTCTTGGCTTCGTTCTTCTCTTTCTGACGTTCAAGAAATATTGTCTTTCGAGCAAGAGATCCCTCGGCCCAATACGTTCCATTGTTGCGGTCATGGTCAAATCGAGCATATTCATGACCAAAGGTCAGGCAGTTATCAACCGTTACGAATGGCTTCATCCTACCACATGCTTCATCTATTTCACAGCAGAAACCTTGCAAACAAAACGACAAAGCGTAAGATTTCAAGTAATATCAGCACGGAGCACCACGAAGCACCATAAACCGACTGAGCTCCACACATTTTAATCGACGAAAGTTACCTGTCGATCGATCCCGATGCGACCGCAAGTACAAATGACCCATTTTTGTTCACTTACTGTGACCATCGACAGTGTAAAACGGAACAAAAAAGTTTTGCCGCGCCGTTGCCAACAACCATGCGACTTTTCCAAAGCGCGATCCCAGATGACCCACAAAGACATGACCGTGGCTCAGGTGCCACAAATCTACAACCGCAGTCTCTCCTAGGATGGGCTGATTGGCGCTGTTTTCTTCTGCCTCAATGCTATCGGCGTTGTAATCAAAGTAATGGCGAGAATAATTCAAAAAATGCCAATGCTCAACGTCGATTTCCTCCTCCGCACTACTATCCTTTCTGTCTTTGACCTTTTTATTCAAAATCTCGTCGAGCAAATCCCCGACATCGTCGGTAGCAAGATACACGTGAAGAGGTCGTGTTTTGGGCACCAAACGTCGTATTTGACTGAGGACGTCGACGTAGACATTCGTTTTGTAGCATTTTCGATCGCTCCCAGTTTGTGCTGGAGAATCTAGCTCGGAAGCACTTATTTCATATTCACTGGGTTTCGTGTCGCCACAGGAATCCCCTCGCCTTATATGAAGTGCCACGTTGAATGGTTCGTTGTGTTTGTTCATACTACTTGTTGTCCCCACATTTTTGCTTGATGATAAAGATTCGTAGCCATCCCTGCCTACACTCGCCAACTTTTCTTGATAAATCTTGTCGAGAAAAGGTCGTCGATTGAACATCATGCGTACCATGTGCGCAAACATCAAGAGACTTCCAAGGGGAGATAGCTGTCGTTCTGTTTGGGCAACGTCGGCAAAGTTACGAAAATCTCCTGTTTCAGCTTTCTTCAGATATGGTTGATGATAAACTACAAATTTCTTCAGCAATTTGCGGATTCGACGCTTGTCTGTGTCATTTTTCATTACGTCGTTAACCCATTGAATAGCCTCGTTTTCCACGACTGCGCCTTCCAAGTCTTCCGAAGCCTTCAATCCTTGGTAGAAACACGACGATCCACGATAATACTTTCGAAACTCAACATTGCAGTCGGGGTACCAAGTCTCTTCGACGAAAATGGACTCGCTGTTTGCATCGAATTTATCCGGCAAAATATTGTGTTTTCGCCAGTATTCCCATACCTCGATGGTGGAATATTGGAGGCTCTTCCCGAGCGGCAATTTTGGCTCGGCAAAGATTTTCCCATCAAAGATAGATGCAGCCTTGATTGCACGTCTCATTTCTAGTCCGATCCAAACTAGAGCATTGCGATATTGTGGATTTCGTGGTAGACAAGCGATTGTGTTAAGACAATCTATCGAAACAACGTCGCAGTTACAAGTCGAATGTGTGGGGGAATTTAAATTTATGAACGTCAAATCGAATCCCAATTGATCATCAATAGGGATGCCGTTTTCAACCGAAAACGATCTAGTGAGGATTTTTGCCAACCGTTTGATATCAAGAACATCGCCGATTCCATCTTCAAAATTTTTCGATGTCGCAGGAGCTGACATCGAAATATCAGGAACTTTGCCCTTGTAGGAGACACGACCGCCTTCTATCGCGGGGCTTTGCCAAGCGTCGAGCGCGGGTGTGTCATCTATTTCTGCAGCGGATAATTTGTGGTCGGAAATTAATTGGATAGCCACGTTCACGTTGGTGAATAGAGCATAGGCAAAGAGTAGAATCGTCAATGTTAACAAAGGGTTCTTCGGTCTCATGTTCGCGAGCAAATTGGATCTTTTTGTGGTAGATCAAGCTGTTCGGATATTTGTGTTGGATAAAACTGCTCGACCTCTTTCCCCTACACTCGTTGCCCTATGACTTGGCACGAGCTTTATTGCCTGCAAGCAAGTTTTGTTGTGCTCATTATGACTTGTGTTCACTGTCGTCTTGGTCTTTGCCCAAACGAAAATTCGCAGTGAGAAAAACTAAAGATTACACATACAGAATCCCAACATCTTCGACTCATTTACTGTACGGTAATTCCCGTTTCAAAAACGGTGTCACAAAAATGAGTTGGCTAACGCAAGCACTTGCTACGGTGCAAAAACTAGGTGAGTCCATAGTTGGAAAAAAGAATATGAATTTGGAAGTAAATTAATTGGAAGTAAATTAACAAAACAACTGTGGGTGGTGGCTGATGTTTGTTATTTTAAAAACTTTTAAAATAGGAATGGAATCCAATGTTCTATTGTCTACCAGCAGCTATGTTGAATGCTGTTGGCTTATTCTTTGCACAAGAGAGGTGCTGTTTCGTCCTTCTTGCCACCACAAACAGAGCAGCAGCATTGCTGGAAGTTCTTCTATTAGTCCAACCCCCCACCACTCTTCTTTAAGAAAGCACAAGACAAAGAACCATATCACTATTAATCCAATGCATGCTTCTCCTTGTTGTGTTCTAGTAGACCAGGATGAAACCAAGACATTTTCCAAAGATCTTCCCTGGCTGTAACAATTTGTGAACACTAATACTAATTGGTGGTGGTACTTTACATGTTTTCAGTAACAAGAATGTTCTCCCACCACACTGCTGGGAACCACCACTGGTGGTGTCTGTGATAACTGAAGTATCAACACCACCAATTTGCAGTTCATTGTAGTACCTGTCTGTGAACCACATCCATGTTATCAACAAGAAATTCTGCCTGGAATTCTTCAAACAAACTACTAGTACTAGGAATAACACTTCTTTCTTCATTAGTTTGAGAACAGTTCCCAACACCTCTCAAATTATTTTTGACTTCTTGTTTGTCTATAGCATCTGGTGTTGGCCTTCCTGTATTCAAAGTGCTGTCAACCCTGAGAATGATTGTTCAGTACTTTTTTGCTATGACAGTTCTTCAATTTCCACTTTAGCTTGTCTTCATAGTTTTGGCTTAGCATCATAAGTTACAGTACTGAGGAAAGAATGATGCTGAGAAACATGCAAGTAATACTATTAGTAGTACTAACTGTGCTTGTTCTGAATGCTGTGATGTTTGTTACAACATCAGTGATAGTATGACATAATGTTTGTATAATTACTGATAAGCAATGTCCTCAAGGTTGGAGCTTTCAAGTCTTTCAGTATTTCTACCCTATACCTTGATAGGGATGTCCTTGTCGCAAAGTTTTGGAATGGCATCATCCTCCATAATGGTGCTACAGCTCTCGAATAATGAAAGTATCAATTTAATGACTTACAATGTCTCTGTTTATCCCACCAGGAAGACAATATCCAATCCTACACTGATCTCGTCATGCAAGTTTTTTTCCTGGTATTAGGAGCAAGTCTTGCTGTGCTGCCTGTGTTGGAGCAAAGCAATAAAGATATCCATTGTCACACTGTTTCCCATAAACAGGCCTTATGCCAAGCATGATTAACAAGAAGAAAGAGAGTCAGACACTTTTTTCTCTCCATCAGAAACCTAGTATCAAACTTAAGCCACTCATTTCCCCCTGATCTTGAAGCTTTCCCATCTAATGCCACCAACAATTTCTTCTCTTGATACTACTAGTACTAGTACTAGTACTATATCAGAGTTTATGAAAAAATCTACAGGAGCATTCAAGATCATGCTACTTTCTTTCCACTACTAGTAGTACCAATATCAATCTGATTGCTCAGTAAAGCAAGTATAAGAGCTGTTGAAGTGTTATTGTAGGGGCCAGAGGTCTTGGTAATGGTACTGCTAGTATGCTCTGCATCGCTGATCACCAACTTTGAGAGGAAAAGGTAGTAGTACTAGTATTTTTTGTAGGACTCAAACTTATCCAACAACAACCAAGCCATCTACATCATCTTTGTCAGTCTCAGTCAGTGCATAATGTACATCACAGTCATACTAGCCAAGAAAGATGTTCCTATTGTTGTAAGGTGCAATGGTGGGATTGCCCAGGTCATGGTGGACATGATAGCTCTTCTACTACTAGCAAGTCTCCTTGAGAGGGCTTCTTGGGTTCTCTTTGGTCTTGGAATGCTGGCCAATTACAATAATGACTGATCCAGCAAAACCTGGACAGAACTGGGTTCTCTTAAATTTTGAAATGATCTTCACTGATAATGATTGAACATTCAAGCACTACTACTAGTGCCATTCTTGAGGAAATTATGGTGTTCTCTCTCATTTTGGAATGAACAACGACAACAATGACTGATTTTTGAGTCTTGGGAGCAATTTTGTTATCTTTCATTTTGGAGTGACAGATGATAACAATGACTGATTTTTTAGTCTTGGGAACAAATTTGTTCTCTTTCATTTTGGAATGACAAATGATGACTTTCATTTTGGAATGACAAATGACAACAATGACTGATATTTTTGATCTTGGGAGCAATTTGGTTTTCTTAAATATTGAAATGACTGATGACTACAAGCATGACTGATTTTTTGCCTTAAGAGCAATTTGGTTCACTAAAATCATGGAATGACTGATGATGACAATGACTGTTTCTTTTTGAGTATTGGGAGCAACTTGGTTTTCTGAAATCTTGGAATGACCAATGACAACAGTGACTGATTTTTTTACTCTTAAGAGCAATTTGGTTCTCTTAAATGTTAGAATGATCACCAATGACAACATTAACTGAACATTAAGTCTTGGGAATCTTGAAATGACTTCTTGACATGTTTCTATCTGGCCTCCTAGTACTATTATTTAACAATGAATAGTAACCTATTTTTTGCCAAGCAGGTACTAATTCATTTGCAAAAAATGGGATACTCAGGTTTACATAGATTCTACAGGAATAAGTGTATTTTTGTTGTTTCTTTGGTAAGTCCAGAGCAGTGAGAATTATCAAGGATACTGGCTTCTTTGCAATTGTGTACATGGTAATCCAGGGCATGGCAGTCAATTTTGTGTTTGTGAGCTTGCCATATGTACAAGTATGAGGTACAGTAGTACTGTACTTCCATTATAAGAGGTGATACACCATTGCATAATAGTATGCATTCCAGATTAGTAATTGGAATTGCATCTCACAGGGCATTCTTCTGAATGTTAACTTTACATTCCGAATGTTAGCACCATAGGCCTTTATTGTAGCAATGAGTACTGTGGTTTTGCTTGAATTATTTATAAATGTTAACTCCACAGTCCACTTAACATTCTGAATGTTAGTAGGCAATGTCTCCTTCTTCCTCCTCTTGTTTCCAACCAATATTCTTCTTTTTGGATGCTGGCATGCTACCAAATGAAGAATGGGGATTATACCACCAGTATCTACTAGTATCATGTAGGCCTACAGTGATATACTAACATTCCAAACGTTAAGAAGTTTGACATTGGATTAAGTCAATACTATTGGGAACCTTAATTCTGACTTTGAGAACATGGAATGCCCTGAGAAATACCATTTCAATATATGCAACGTGTAATAGTCATAAAATTTAATACTGTAATATCACTTCGTACTTGATAGTAGTCACATACCACCACTATGATGCTGTTGCTATTCCTCACTAATTATTCAACAAGGAGGAGGACATGCCTATTTGTTTCTCATAGTACCAATGCGATCCAAATTTTCAGCTACATACATCTTGTCTTGTTTGGTTCCAATGACAAGCAAGAAATGTCCAGTTTTGACTCCTCTTCTATGATTATGTTGTGCTATTGTATTGGGTCTAGTTGATAGTAGTTCTCTTGCCATCTTGGTTTTCTCCTTTTGATGCTGCTTCTGGTGTTGCTTGTACTAGTAGTAGTAATACCTGATCATCACTCTTGTTGTAGTAAGAAGAAGTTTTTGATATTCTTGCAACTGTCATACTTTGGTAGTGGACTACCAGCAGTAGTCACACCACTTGCTGCAACAAATACACTGGTACATTCACTGCCAGCAGGAGTACTAGTCGTCCTAATACTACTAATAGCAGAAACTGTAAGATAAGTAGTGTTATTAAATACTATTACTATTACTACTACTACTTCCTCTGGTCTGAAATACTATGTTTCATTCCAAGAACCAGCAGTTTTTGTTGGTCCCATATACATATCTGTACTTTTAGTTAACCATTTTTGAGTTTTTTTGGCAGTTGGATTGCACAAAATCAGCACAGGAGGAGCCTACTAGAAATGAACACAAATGTAACTGGAATTTATTTTTGCAAATAAAACTTATTGACACCTCTTGTGAACAAATAGAATGAATGACCAATAGAAAAAGTTCTTAGTAGTAGTAATTCTGCTGACAAGAATTAAAGCCTCAAAAATGTAACACTCTTAGCTATCATGTACAAGAGGCTGCATATCAAAATGATCATTGGAACACAACTGATGGTCTAAAATAAAATACATATGCAAAAAATAGCTCTGTCTGAAGGCCAATTCCTTTATTACTACTACTGGTATGACACTGAAAGGCATAACACAACATTAAAGTAGTATGAAACAAGATTAATAAAATAAAAAAGAACCATTCAAATTCACCTGCTAGTACCAGTAATATGGAGCAATGAAATGAAGAATAAAACTACTGGTGAGGGGACTTCACCACCACCAGCTGGTACTACTAGTAGTAGTAATGGTTTCACTTCCACTTCTCCTACCATAGTGACAAGAAATCAGCAACAAGAAGGACTGGCTGGGGTGGTTGAAACCAGGGTGCCAGAAACTAGAGTACTGGAAATACCATCATATCTGACAATAGTAGCCACTGTTGTCCTTGACACTTCTCTCCCTGTTCCACAAATGATGCTACAGATAATGCAACAAATTATGCAAAAGAAGCTCACAAATCAAAACTGCAATGGGCTAGTGGAGGTTTGATAGAGGAAGGTTCCATCAATATTTGAAGAATTGAGGCACAGCATCAATGAACCAGAAAGAGTGCGACAAGGCAAGTAGGACAGCAACTACTCTCCTTCCTGTTCTGCAAATGCTGCTGCTGTAAATAATGCAGCAAATGATGCATGGGCAGCTCACAAATCAAGACAACAGGGAGATAGTAGCAAAGGTTCAATAGT